CTGTCTACCTGTCTGGTGATATATTTTATAATACATGAAGGCATTTATATTTAAATCTGCTGTTTATACTAATATACTTGTTTAGTCACTTTAGTGTATTAAACTTCGATATAGAGGCATTGAAACAAAATGATTTCAAGAATATATCGGCAATTATAATACCCACTGAATCACTGATCTATTTCCGACCAAATCGACAGTAATGATTAATGCCTTTATGCTGATACAAGAAGCAAATGAACTTTTAGTTTATTTGTTTGTTATGTCACTTAATATGTGCAAAGCCAAAGGCGGTGAGTATATAATAGTGTTTGGTACGTTCTATTTCTAAATGTTTATAGTTTAAAAACAAAGGCGGGATGTTGTTAAATCAGGCTTAACAAGATTCCTAGAGCTACCCAGTGTGGATTGTTGTCTGCATATATGGACTTATCAGCAATTACATGTAATATAGCATATCAACTGACTTTTGTATAAGATATGACTTGTACAAGGCCTCAGTTATATATAAAGCCTATAAACATGATTCTACTGACATACATTGATATATACATATGCTGTGTTACCACAATAATGCTCACAACTTCAACTTCTTTCTAACAATATAGTTTTGCAGTTCTGACTGTTCTGAGTATGATCTTATTCATTCAGAAATATAAGCATTGCACTGTATTCAATGGCAAGCTATCCTGGATTCCAGCGCCTTCAGTTAATAATAAATTGAAATATCGTGAAGGCTCTGGTTCAACGGGAGGATTCTTTGATTAAACTGTGCCAATCACAAAACAGAATTAGCAGTCTTAGTACAGATTTTGGGCGTGTTAACCCATTAAGCGCCAGCGCTCTCCCCTTGACGAGTAAAATCGTCTGGCGTTAGACAGAGTAAAATACTCTGGCGTTAGACAGAGTAAAATACTAAAGTAGGGTGCATCAGGGTGCAATGCGACCCAAAGGGTTAACTAGACACATGGGCAGATAGATCAGTTAACACATTAAGCGCCACCACTCTCCCCTTGACAAGTAAAATCGTCTGGCGTTAGACAGAGTAAAATACTGTTCAAAGTAGGGTGCATCAGGGTGCAATGCGACCCAATGGGTTAACTAGACACATGGGCAGATAGATCAGTCAACCATTAAGCGCCAGCACTCTCCCCTTGACGAGTAAAATCGTCTGGCGTTAGACAGAGTAAAATACTGTTCAAAGTAGGGTGCATCAGGGTGCAATGCGACTCAATGGGTTAATATAGTACATAACATAGGTCATAGACATACAGTTTCAATACAATACAAAATGATTTTGAACAACGTCAAGGTCAATGAAATCATACAAAATGAATTTATGGAATATCAATTAAATGTATTTAAAACAAACATAATTTCAACATCCCAATAAGCAGTAACATCCCAGTAAGTATAAATTCAACTATTTTAAATCAATTGTTTGAATAGCCAAATTAAAAGTTGTACGAGTGACAAAATCATTCAATAATATTCACATTTTATCATTTGTATTATGTGTCAACTATCAAAGTCGCACTGTTAAGTATATTAAAATATACTTTTCATAAGATTAGATGTAAGATATAATTGTACGAAGGTAACTGAGGAACGACGATGTGCAAGACAATAAATCATACATACAGTGAAAAACGCTCTTTTTGTAGCACATCCTACATGTACATATCGGCAGCATTTTCCTTGCGATAGTAACTCCTAGTATTAATAATAATAAACTTTGAACCCTCACCTTTTAAACTTGTGGCCTTTTATTGTAATATATAAACTAATTGCTTCTAATCTTGATAGCTTTAACAATTTATGCTTGACCTTAAACAATTTATATCATATTACGTACTGGGACTTCAATACCCCAATGTTTTGCGATATTACCCAGTGTGCCCGCAAAGCATTAGTGGGTATCCACCAATGCTTTGCGGGCAAAAAATTTAAAAACTTAAATTATATATATATATATATATATATATATATATATATATATATATATATATATATATATATATATATATATATATATATATATATATATATATATATATATATATATATATATATGCTCAGAAACATTGCTTCGAACGATTGAGCCCATATGAGGTACTTCCTCGGGTAGAAGAATTTGCATTACAGATTACGTCATCAGTTAGTTATAGTGATTAGTGTTGGGGTTAGGGTCAGTGGCGTGCTGGCAGGGGGGGCCGGGGGGCCACGGCCCCCCCAGCTGGCAATTCTTGGGGAGCGCAAAAATGAAAAGGGGGCGCCGATCCCGCGTTTTGAAAGTGGGTGGGAAGAAACGCATTCGAAAAAATATAGTTACTAATTCCGCCAAGGAAAGATACTAAAGATGTGTTTATAGACTTATAAACAGACTAAGCGCATAGGCGGCAAAGTGAGTATATTAAATTGCAGACTATTTTGTCTAACCGTATTTGCTACCTCACGACTCACACGAAATCACTCGTTCATATAGAAACACGATCAGTGATCACACGCAATGTCTCATTACCAGAATATTGATCAGGCTTCGAAGCGATCACGGGAATTATGCCCTTTTTTGCTGGTATTATACCCTTATATTATGCCCTTTATTATGCTTCACGAATCACGAGAGCGGCGCAAATTAGATAGTTGAAGTTATGACAATGTAAAGTTGTGTACGCAATTTAGTTGTTTGCGCAAGAAACATTATGAGTAATGTAAGTAATCAGATAATGATGAAACACGCCCTTTTGGCAGCCAGGCAAGGAAACCTTAAAATGCATATGCGTGGGGTCCGTGTGTTATTGTATAAAAGAGCTGTAAGTTGTAAATGTATTCAGATCAGTAGAGAATAAAATTGGGATTAGATTAATTGCTGGAAGTAGTTAGCATTGCCCAATTTAATAGTGCTGCTACTAAATTCTAACCAATTTTCAAATTTCGACACGTTGTAATGCCGTTTCCTGACCATCAGATTTCTGTCAAATCTTCCCCCAAAGTCCAGGAAATGGCATTTCAGAGACTCTAGATTCAAAAATTTTCCTGGGGGGCATGCCCCCGAACCCCCTAGAACAACCTCGCACCTGCGGCGCTCGGCTCGTGCCTTCGGCCCTCGTTTATCAAGAGTAATATTATAGGGGCGCATATTAGTTGCCAGCCAACTGGCCCCCCCAGAAAAATAGTACCCAGCACGCCACTGCTGAGTAGTTCCTCAATGGTTAAGCAGATTTCCTCCAAGTTGATGCATCTCTTGTATATAATATCAGCCATTATTCACAGGATATAGCCCAATACAGTATATTGTAATCCATGATTAAGATAGACCTACCTGTAATAGAAATTTCTTCCAGTATTTTTTCCATTTTCGCTCCGTCCGTCCCAAGCGGTCGTAGGTCCCACAATATGAGATGGTTAGAGGTGCCACCCGAGACCAGAGTGTACCCTTTGGTAACCAGAACTTTTGCCATGGCTTTGCAATTATCGATAATCTGTTGTGCATACTCCTTAAAATCAGGCCTGAGTGCCTGCTTGAGGGCAACACATAGAGCGGCAATCGCATGGTTATGTGGGCCACCTTGAAGGGCGGGGAATACCGCACTGTTCACCCGTGGGCCATAATCATACATAATCGGTTGGCCAGTTTTTGAATGACCTTTGACGCCTATTCGGTAGAATATCATGCCTGCTCGCGGGCCACGCAAGGACTTGTGGGTAGTCGTGGTGACAATATCAGCAAGTTCAAAGGGACTGGTGATCACTCCACCCGCAACCAACCCGCTGTAATGGGCCATGTCGACAAGTAGGATGGCATTAACGCTATCACAAATCTCGCGGAACCTCCTGTAGTCTAGGTCGCGAGGATACGCACTGTAGCCTGCAATGATGATCTTAGGACGAAACAGTCTAAGAAAAAAGTAAAAGGGCAAATAAGGATTCGGTGTAGTCCTTTTACCTCTGAGTTCATGGGTTCGATTCTCGCTATGGACTCACATAAAAAGTGAGTCGGTCAACATTCTGCCAAAAGTAGGTTTAATTCTTCCGGGTCTACGGTTTCCTCCCGCAGGGAAAGTTGACAGGGTGGGTTACTCTGGATAAACATAGTTAAGAAAGTAATATCACAATTGTTGTAAAGATAAAATAGTCTAGGCCAAGTATGTAATTATAGGTAAGCGTATCACTTGATGTCGGTTAACCGAGTCAAATCCGAGTCAAGTCTGAGTCAAATGTCCGAGTCATTGTTTAATCAATGGTCTTTGCAGTTCAATGACTTAGTACCCTAATCCTAACAATAATCCCACTCCTAACTTACCCTAACCCTATTCAACTGTGAATTTTATTCAATTTAGTACATAGTAGCACCCCAAAACTTACTTTGCATTCTCAGCTAGCTTGTCATAGTCAATGTAGCCAGTCTCAGGGTTCAATTTGTATGGCATGGATTCAAAATATATCGATGTGGCAGAGATTCGCTTCTTGTCTGTCATAAAACCATGGGTGAGATGTCCGCCATCAGGAAGGTCCAACCCCATGATTCGGTCGTGCGGACTCAACAATGCTGTGTAGGCTTCAAAATTTGCCGGTGAGCCTGAATACGGTTGGACATTTACACCCCATTTTTCTGGATCTAGGCTACAATAAATAATCAAAACAAAGCTTTTGGGTCAGCTGGATTAAACTGAACTAACTTTATTTATACTGGATAGCTCTTATCATTTCTAAACTGTGTTTCCTAGAAGTCCACTAAGGGGTTATCTCTTATGGATCCAGTTTTACTATAGGAAGAAACCTAAACTAACTTTATTTATACTGAGCAGCTCTATCAGTTCTAAACGGTTATCCTTAGAAGTCCAATAAGGGTCATCTCTTATTGATCCAGTGTGTTTAGGAGGAAACCTAAACTAATTCTATTTATACTGGGTAGCTTTATCAGTTCTAAACAATGAAGAAAACCTATGTTACATATGTTTACCAATGCCACATACCCATAAACCTGCAATGCTCTATTCTGACATAAAATTTCCATCTCATCAATAAACTGATTCCCACCATAATATCGTTTGCCCGGGTAACCCTCAGAATATTTATTATGCATGCAAGACCCCATCGCCTCCAGCACCGCCTTGCTCGTAAAGTTTTCAGATGCAATAAGCTCCAATCCTCTGACTTGACGAGTCTTTTCCTTCTTTATGATTTCGTAAACCTCCGGATCGTTTGTGGCCAAAGGCTCTTGAAGATACGTTTGATCCATTGTGGAAAATTTTGTATGATAAAAATCTAAAACACAGTTTTGAATATATGGTAAAATATAATGCAACTTGCTACTGACTCCCACTACGAAAAAAACTCCTCCAGTCAGAAGGGAACGGGAGGGTGCATTCCATGCCAGAGATCTCCGGCATGAGGTTACAAAATTTGTCGGCTATAGTCGTAAGATTACTCAAAGTCGTTGGTATATTGGCATAAGATTACATTACAGTTTTGAAGGCACACAGGATTGTCTATTTCGACTTGAGTTTTAGTTTTTGGGTGTATCTCCGGCATAGAGTTTACATGGTATGAACCATGGCAGGCCCTTCAACCGGCGTTTGAACTTCCGTTTTAAAGCCTAGTGACTTATTTCATTACATCAAAATCACCCAGCCTTCCCAGAAAACCAGGATCATGAACAACATCCCTTAATTACATGTAGCCACATAGTTATGTACTATGCGTGACTCAATGGACGGGCATAAGTGTTTTTATTAGATATTATATAGCATATGTATTCACACAATAATTGGGAATATAAACAAATGTGCGAATTGTTCCTATCACATATGTATTTGCCAAACAAACACAGGTCAATATACATATATATTGTGAATAATTCAGTCTCTCTGATATTAAACTCTCTTGATCACCGCCCCACTTTAGTGAAACCCCCAACCACATCACAAAACCGCCAGCCAGCTTTATAAATATTTAATAATATTCTACAAAAATCCGATAAAAGGGGCACAAATAAAAAAGATAAACACGTTTATGACTACTTACCAAAGTGAAGCGTATAGATCTGTTACAAGTACGGAATATCACATGGAATTTGACCCAGTACAAAGTACAAGAATACGTCCAATATTTAATATTTATATAAAAAAAATTTACCTCTTTTATATCATGCAAATTTGGCGCAATCTGGCGGGAGTTGGGGAGAGATTACAAAACACGCACGTGGCATAGAACACGTGGTGTACGCTAATGAGATTGCGTAATCCTTGTGCATTCTGTCCAGGGCGCTTATATAATAATTATATAAGCGCCCTGATTCTGTCGTTCAAACCAGGGCCGCGCAAACCAAGATAGAACAATGTTAGATAAAAATTTTGAACAAAATCAAATCTGATCCAAAAAAGCGATATTTTTCAACATCTTGCAGACAACATTACTCAGTATGATTCTTACCGATGTAAACGCAACAATGTACGTTGTGACTAACAGACAGTTAAGACCCTAACCCTAATTTGGACAACATGGTTTCGCATGCAGTAGCCTATCTTTCTGTTTATAGTGCATGTTATTATCATAGCATGATCAGTTGCTGTAGCCTAGCTAAATACTTAGTTGTATAAATGCATGAAGTTAGTTGTTAGTTTTTTGCTATTTGATGTTTAAGCCTGCCTACCCCGGGTGCCAGAGGTTCTTCCACGCTTGTAGGAGGGATAATGAGGGATACACGAGGATTCAACAACTTGAATCCTCGTGTATCCCTCATTATCCCCCTACGAGCGTGGAAGAACCTCTGGCACCCAGGGTAAAGCCTGCCGCACACATAGGGAAATTCGCTGAGCTAACTGCCTCGTGTGGCGGCTAGCTCAGCTATGCATTTTCACCGCACACGTTGGGAAAACTACTCAACAACAACATAATTGACAAAATCGTTTGCATTTTCCTCTATTTTATTTAAAGTCACATGAAGAGACTATGGTTTCTCATGGCCATGGGGTAATTGATTCAAGCAGCTCAGCACTAAGCTCGCAACATTCGCAGACGTTGAGACTTTTTTAGTTTAGAACTGATAGAGCTATCCGTAATAATAAAATTAGTTGAGTTTAGGTTTTCTTAGTGACGTGGCCACAGGGAGATGGGGTGGCTTCCCCTCACTCCCCGGCAAAATCATTTGAACCCCCTTGGGGAAATGTTGACCAGTAAAGCATGTGCATTTTATTTTCTCATTTCTTGTGATGGAAATTTGATATCTTTCTATGTTTTAATGTTTTGGTTTCGTTTGTGATTAAGTAGAGTTGTTATGTGTTTGATGATTATTTAAAATCACCAAAACACATTAAAGTAGCCTGCAAAATGATGAAAATGGCACTTTATCAAGTCTAGAATTTAAAGATTTTTATTGTACTATATTTAAAATGTCCACGGTACTATATTATGCATGGTTATCGTAGGAGTCCAAACACATTTTCACGTAATGAACAAAGGTTATTCGAAATAGCGCTGGGTAAAATTAATTGGGTCCCCTTGACTAGAAATCTTGGCTACGTCAGTGGGTTTTTTCCTCTACTAGTACTGGAGCCGATAAGGAATTTTGGGATGACAGTAGCCCAGAAGATGGAAAAATTATTGAACGTAACCTGGGGGAAAATCAATTTAAAAGCAATAAATATGTAATATAATATTCAAATATTCAAAAAATATTGCTGTCATTTCACATTTCACGAAAACAAATATTGACAATTCAATGCATACCTAAAATTAAAGAGTCAGATTACAACGTTAGGCGACAGATTGTAAAAGGCGGAAGTAGAAGTTTTGAAGTACACTAGAAAATTCACTTGCGCTCGGCTGGTATTAAGGCAAAGCGCAAGCCTAAGAGATAACAATTTACGACACGATGAACAACGAAAGGGGACAAGACTCGATTCATTCTGGACCGGTAAAGCTTTTTGAGAAACGAAAATCACGCCATTTGTGGACAGAACGTTGGGCCGTCCTCGGATCGGGCTCGCTGCGTTTATTTGCAAACCATGAATCGTTTTTGAAGGCCTCAGAGGAGCCGAAATTAATCCAGCTTACTGCTGACACTTTTTGTCAAAGCATGCCCAAAAGTGGTCAAAATTTTCAGCTCAAACTTTGCAACGGCGACACGTTTATGTTTCAATGTAAATCAGAACCGAGCAGACAAGAATGGCTGAGCAAATTGGGGGTGGTTTTATCTGGTTTTTGTCGAAAGAATTGCTTTCATTGTAGCGACGAACACGCACACATTAGCATAAAATCGGAGAGTGAATGTACAGATACGTCAAGTCAGAGTTCAACAGACGGATTATACAGCCAACCAGGCGAAATTATTCAAAGCACATTTAAATCTACATGTACAAATAATTCAAGGCATTCGACAGGATGTGAAGATCAAATTACATTGAACTCCCCTCTGAAAATTTACGACACGGAACAAAACATTCTCTCGTCATTTAGTAAAACCGAAAAGGCAAGAGCGGAAAGTCAAACAGATGCTCTTACAGTGAATGTGGATCGGTTCCAGCGTTCACAAAGCGCCGTCCAACTTGGACAAGCGATGAAAAACGAAAAATCTCCTAAGAGTAAGAATAGTTTTGGCTATTCGTTAATTGAAGGCGATGATACCGACAGCGTGACAACTTCCACGAGCTCATTGAAGCTTTTCGATAGTGAGCATAAACGTTTTTCGACATTTTCTAAACGGTCTAGTTTAAAACGTCCCATGAGCGACTTTGTGAATCCTAATTTTGTACTAGAGGATGAGAATTTGACGACAGAGCTTCCTGAAATCCCAAACAGAATTTCAAAAGTTTACGGTGAGTTTTTGTACTATTTGTTTTTCCGCGTTTTTATCGTTGCGATTTAAGTAGTATATCAAATCAAACTACGCGCAAATGCGCAGTTACTATACTCTATAGTTAGTTCATTGCAGCTGAACTAATCCGGCAAGGACTGGATATATCCCGTAATGTCCGAATTGTCTGATTAAGACTGACATCGATGCATGATGACCCGTTGAAATGATGGCTTCTGCAGCTGGCACAGTAAACAGTAAATTATAATACGCGATGCTGTGAATCGCAAAATCAGGGAATATCGGTAGGTTGTTTGCCATTTGCCTCAATTGCTAGTTGCGGAACAAACGGTTTGTAGAAATATCTTATAGTGTATGTTTGCCTGGTGAAGTTACTGCGGCCTATTCTGCATTTTCGTTTGTTCCCAGTGGCTGTAGTGCGGGATTCTTGTATAGAGTTAAATAACAAATGCCGTAAAAACTAACTTCTGTACAAATACTGAAAAAGCAGAGTAAGTGGTAACTGAAATCAAGGGGGCAAGTTGCAAACGACCTACTTTTTCTCAAATTTTGTAATTAATAACGTCGCGTTCTATAATTCACTTTAGCTTTTAATACAGTCAGTTTGAAGCCGTATTTCAACATGATATGCAAATTACAAAAGAACTTCAAAGAAGCAGAATAAATCATATCTGTGATTTCTGGTCATGTTATAAAGAACGCTATGAAGACGCTATGAACGTTATAACACCATAATTTCTAATAATTATATTATGTTTTTAACGCGATATTTATGCTAGCAAAATCACAAAAATCGTAATTTATGCAAATAAGTTATTAATGCAATTTATGTTAATTAGCAATAACTACAATTTATGTTATTAGGCAGCGATAATTGCAATTTATGTCAACTATTTATTTATTTAGCTTTTCCAATTAGGGCAGGGTCACCCCAACAGCATATGCCAATTACTGTGGGCCCTTTTACCTAACCCACCCTGTCAACTTTCCCTGTGGGAGGAAACCGGAGTACCCGGAGAAAACCCACGATTTTTGGCAGAGCATTGACTTTTTACTCTTTTCACATGAGGGATAGGTTCGAGACGCATTGAGGAAGTTCTCACAGAGACTTGAACCTGCGACCTCAGGGGTGAAATACTACTTAGCAATAATTGAAATTTATGTGAATTTGCAATAGCTGCAATTTATGTTAATTACCAATAACTGCGATTTATGCTGATTAGCAATAATGGCAATCTATGTTAATTTGCAATGATTGCAATTTATGTTAATTAGTTAATCCTCAATATTTATAGATGCGCCACTTAACTACGACGTACCAGCGCTCTCAAAAAACGATCCCAGACCGGCCAGACGGGGCTCTCTCAAAGTTTTAACGGGCAAAAACAACTGGAAAAAATATCAAGCAGTTATCGAGGAAAACGTTTTGGTTTTATCAGACCTCGATAGTAGTTCCCCTCAAGAAAATTGTACTAGTATAGAACTCAAACCTAACATTAAATTCACCCTATTACCAAGACGGAATCATGATTACAGGTTTAAAATGACAAGCGGGACTTCAGAGTACTTTTTTAAAACTTCGAATGTGTTACAACGCGATTCCTGGATTAAAGCTCTGACAGAAGCAACCAGTACCGTTTGCCAGATGGCGTGTCCGCGATGTTGTACGGAGGCTTGCCGGGATGTCTCGAATTTCGCCGAGAGTGAGGCGAACCAATCGGATACGAGCGTGGTGGCGGCTACTGACCAATGGGAGGAAGGCCCCGATGACGTGTTTTATGTCGGAATGACCAATCCTGATGAAGGGATTACATTTGTAAATTCGTCCAGTCAGGAAAGCGCAAATGTCCTTTACAGTGCTTGTGAAGAAACAGATATGGGTAAGCTGGGTTGGTGCATGTGACTTTGAAAGTCCTGAAATTGGGGAAGAGGGGAGGGGGTCTTAATCCCACTTGCGGTTGCCATAGAGTATTTTAGTAAAACACAAAACAATAGACACTCCGAAAATTGTAAACATTTTAATTCTTCACGTTTCGACTATAATTTAAGTCATCTTCAGAAGAATGCCTTAAAGAATGCCTTTTCATTCTTCGGAAGATGACTTAAATTATAGTCGAAATTTAAAGAATTAAAATGTTTACAATATTCGGAGTGTCTATTGCTTTGTGTTTTATTAATCCCACTTGCCAGCCCATTTTTTCACTAAATCCATTTTCCCAGCTATTTGTAAATCTCAGTCTCAAAGTTCATCCAGAGCAAATAGTTCATCTGTGTGTTGACCTGAAAACAATTCTGCGTTCATGTTGATGTCTGTTATGCCCGTACGATCGATAGTCAAAACTCAACAAATATACGCCAATTTTCCACTATTATTTTCCACTTTATATCGTATATTACTATTTCCACCAATATAAACAGCAGGTTTTCTGCAAGTTAAACTAAAATTAATATACAAATACATTAAAATTGTCAACAATAAGTGTTCGAAAACTTACCGACTGTATCGGTCGTTCAATAAAGCAAGTTTGTACTAACAAAATCCTCAATATATGTTCTATAAATACTCAAAATGTTTACTTCTCGTGTTCAAAATTCAATATGGCCGTCCAAACCCGAAATGTTTTATGGGGCGGCTTTCCCACTGAACTCTATATATACACTGATTGGTAGCTACACCGGCCCCTAAATGGACGAGTTTGTCCATTTAATCTAATTAGTGCTACCAATCCTACAAAGTGACAAACAACAACTTGTCAGTAGTTCTTAATATATCAACATCAAAGTCTCTTCAACAATGTTATTCCAGTTCCAACCGACATAACTTGTGTATTGGACGAGTAAGGATTGTGCTCGTTGTTTTCAATTCACCACGACGTTGCCGCTTCGCCCGTGTAACAACAGTCGAACTTGTTTTTACATTAACTGTCCGTACCAATCCGTCATCACTCGCGAAGATTTCCACCACTCTGCCAACAGGCCATTGTCCTCTAGGATAATTTCCATCCATAATCAGCACTAGATCATCAACTTTCCAGTTTGGTTGCTTGTTATTCCACTTCTGGCGCTCTTGTAGAGAAGGAAGATATTCCTTCAACCACCTCTTCCAGAACACATTCACCATATATTGGACTTGTCTCCAACGGCGCTGAGTGTGTAGATCTGAATCATCAAAAATTCCAGGTGGTAGAGTGGGACATGGTCTCAATTTTAGTAGATGATTGGGTGTTATGGGTTGTTCGTTGCTTGGATCATCACTGTTGCGCGTCAGTGGACGGCTGTTCAGAATATTCGTCGCTTCTGACATAACTGTCGCCAAAACTTCATCACATACCACTTGTTCTTTCATTAAAGCTCGCAAGACTTGGCGTGTTGATCTAATCATCCGTTCCCAAACTCCACCAAAGTGACTTGCGTCTGGTGGATTGAATAGCCACTGAATACCCTTTTGGTTACAAAAGTTCTCGATTTTCTCTTGGTTCCATTTCTGTATTGCAGCTGTCAACTCCTTGTCGGCACCTTTAAAATTTGTTCCACGGTCACTTCGAATTATCTCTGGGCACCCACGTAGGCAGATAAACCTTCTCAAGGCATTGATCATTGAATCAGTGTCTAACGAATGGGCTATCTCGATGTGGACAGCCCTCACCGACAAGCAAGTAAATATGCAACCATACCGTTTTACTTTGCTTCTTCGTTGCTTCACCTCCAAAGGTCCAAAATAGTCCACTCCTGTTGCGGTAAATGGTGGTTTGTATGGGGTCACTCTCTCTTCAGGGAGATCTGCCATTAGTTGCTTTCCAGGCTTATTCTTTGCTTTCTGGCATTCCAAACAGCGAGAGATAACTTGTCGCACTGCCGATCTTCCTTTCACAATCCAATAATGCTCTCTCAAAGCCGAAAGTACCGATTCTTGACCCATATGTCCGACTTCAATATGAACCTGCTCGATAACCAAGTCAGTCACTCGATGCGTATACGGCAAAATTATTGGATGCTTCGCTTCGTCATCCACTCCTGCGTGCTTCAGTCGCCCACCAACAACCAGCGTGCCATCTTTTAACTCGGGATTTAATTTCTGTAGTGAGCTATCTTTGAGCGTTTTCTTCTGATTTGTTCCAATTTTGGCTGGTTGAGATCCGAGTATCTTTATCACCGCAGGGAATGATGTCGACTGCACATATCGTACAATGTTTAGCTCTGCATTTCGAAGCTCTTCGACTGTGAGGTTTGGTACTCTTTCTTCGCCACGCAAGTTATCGTTCACATTCTCAACAATCTTCTCTTTAACTCTTTTCATCAAATTCCTTCGGTAACGCAAAAGCCAAGCCACCACTCTCTTCAGCTTCCACCAGCTTGAATAACGCTTAATCAACGATTCCAACGGGCTTTCACTTGCACTCGTTGTGTAAACCAAATTCGCCTTTCGCAATGCAGGGTCATCGTCCTCTATGACCGTATGAGAAACTTTCGCTGGCCAACATGACTTATCTTTCCACAAAAAGTCGGGCCCATTCAACCATCGACCACCGTTTGCTATCTCTTCCAATTTGAGTCCTTTCGATGCATCATCTGCTGGGTTATCTTCACTGCTAACATATTGCCATTCGTCGACCGACGACCCATTATGTATGATTGTCAACCGATTTGACTCGAAGGTATGAAACCTCTTTGATTCATTACAGACGCATTTTAGGACGGACTGCGAATCAGTCCAATATGTCACACTGTTCACTTCGATGTCTAACTCCTCTTGAATGATCTTATTCAACTTCACGGAAATGACTGCCGCTGACAATTCCAGACGAGGTATAGTTATCTCTCGTATCGGCGCTACACGAGCCTTGCCCAAGACGAAACAACAATGAATAGTATCGTCCTGATCAACCAAACGCAAGTAGGCTACCGCGCCGTACCCAACGCGTGATCCGTCTGAGAATATGTGCAACTCAACTTCCTTTATCGAGCCAAAGTCCCGAGGTTTAAAACATCGCTTCACACTAATCTTCTCTAACTTGTTTAGATCTTCGAGCCAGCGACTCCACTGGTTCTTCTCATTCTCTTCAATAACAGCGTCCCAACCAGCTCCATTTCGACATAATTCCTGCAATATCAACTTTGCCTTCATAATATAGGGTGCTAAGAACCCCAAAGGATCAAACAGTGAACTCACGATAGATAATATAGTTCTTCTTGTCGCAGGTTTCTGACCAGATAACAACAACATCTTTTCCTGCACTTCCCATACGAATTCATCCTTCTCCACATTCCATTTGAGACCAAGGGCACTTTCTGTCGGAAGATCTTCAACATTCAAACTAACAACCGAGCTGGCCTTCTCAGATTCTGGGATTTCTGATAACACTCGTCGATCGTTACTGATCCATTTTGTCAACCGGAAACCACCACTCTTCATTAACTCGATTAACTGTGCCACCAGACGATTTGCTGTATGGTTGTCCGATACAGACTTCATCAAGTCATCAACGTACATATTTCTTTCTACTGTCTTGACTGTCTCAGGATCGAACTTTCCTTCACTAGAAGAAGCCAACTTCTTGACGCAGAGATTGGCACAACTGGGCGATGAAGTTGCACCAAAGACATGTTTAACCATCCTATATTCTGTTGGACTTGCTTCCAGGTTTGCACCTTCCCACCAAAGAAACCTTAAGACATCACAGTCCTTTGGGTCAACTCTTATCTGGCTAAACATTCCTTCTATATCCGCCACCAAGGCTACTGGCTCCTGTCGAAATCTAATCAACACTCCCACCAACGAATTTGCCAAATCGGGACCTTGCAACAATTGGTCATTAAGGGAGGTACCATTGTGTTTGGCCGCACAATCAAATACTACCCTGACCTTCTCAGGCTTCATCGGATGTGTCACAGGATGGTGTGGCAGGTACCACACCGGTCTATCCTTTCGTTCTAATTCTTCTTCTGGGATCTTTTGTGCATGTCCCTTTTTGATATAATCTTCTACCGCAGTCTTGTATTTCTCCAAAAGTTTTGGATCCTTCATCAACCGGGCTTTCAATGAGGCAAGTCTTCTCTCCGCTATTTCTTTGTTGTTTGGCAAAACTGGATTTCCTTTGCGCCAAGGCAATGCTACTTGGTAGTGTCCTTCTACCATCTCAATTGAGTTTTCCATTACTTCGAGTGCTCTTCGATCTTCTATGGACGGGTTTACGCTTATATCAACACCTGTATCAGCAAAGTCGGTATTCCACATTCTCTCCAGTCTACGAGATAATAGCGCATCATTCGATAAATCTTCAGCAAACTCCTGACTGTTATCATCATCCATGCACACACAGCTTACTCCGTTTTCTTGCTCAGCAGCATAAATAGGTACATACATAGGAGTACCCATGTGAATCAAATTCACCCCACAGCTAGGGTCCACCTTCTTTCCTCCAACTGGACCGATCACTGTCCATCCAAGGCTATACTTAATTGCTACAGGCTCTGTCTCTTCACCCATCTTATATTCCAAAGGCAGGAACAAACTAGGTCTTTCTTTCACACCAATTAGCAGCATCACTTCTCCCTTTTCTAATTCTGGAATATCTATCCCATCTAGGTGAGACCATCTTGATAAATCATCACGCTTTGGTATACAACTTGGGAAGATTGGCATCCCCTTTACCGTTTTCACATTGGGCAATTCAATCACAGTACTTTCGTCCATTGATTTCACTTTTAAACTCACCATTGTTTCTTCCACCTGGGTGCTTCCAGTCATACTAGTCAACGTATACTCTATCTTCTTGCCAACAAGACCAAGTTTCTTTGCAAGCTGCTCATGACATAATGTCACTTCAGATCCATTATCCACTTCAGATAAATTATCCAACAGGTGCATTTTCGTCAAATGCTACACACGAATTTTCAAGCTTATCATTAACCAGTGGGTCTGGTACCCTCAATTGTTGTTTAGCAACTGACACACCCATTGGTACATTCAAGTCACAACTGTTTGAGTCTTGCTCCATAACAATTTGGTAGGACACTGTTGCCTGTTTCGCTTCCATCTCTGCAACATATAGATCTCTTTTCCTTTTCAACTCCTGTTCTTCTCTCTCATACTCCTGTAAAACTTTCACTTCTTGTAACTTCAACTGAGCTAGAGCCATTTTTTCCTTTCTTTTAGACTGTCTCGATAATTTTGTACTAGCACTACTTCCACAACTACTCCCACTCTTCGATGATTTATGAGATTTCTTACTCTCTATCTCATCTAAATGTTCAGCTTCCTTTGATTTACGCCACTCTTTTAACTTGGCATCCAACTCTAATTTCCTGTTTTGTTGCTGTCCGTATTCAGCACAAGCCATCCTTTTCTCACTCTCACTGTTCAACACTTGAATTAAACGTTCATGTACACCAACAAATTCTTTCCATGCAATAGTATGTTTATCCATTATCAATACAGCATTTCTCCAACTAGTATTCACACATTTACCCATTAGCAAACAACACACTTCACTAGCCAACTGTGATAACTTATTAGTAGAAATATCTCGCACCTTGTATAGTTCAGAAATTTCCTCTTCCATATTTGTTCCATGCTCTGGCGATAAAACATTTAGTTCCTGAATTTCTCCACCAGATATTTGTTCTACACCTTGACTCACACGATTTTCATTATTTTCCAGTTGCTTCGTTTCCTCAGCAGATATAGTTCCAGATGATTTTGACAT